GATTGAATCCAACTACGAACCGTGGCGATTCTTCTCTTTTGCGCGGATCAGGCGGGAGTGGCACGCGCAGACGGGCTTCTTCGTCTAGTGAACCACTGCGACCTATCTCGCCCCAGGTATTCTTGACGCAGGGCTCAGATTTGGGTGGAAGAAGAGAGTACAGTAGGCGAAGCGCAAGTCTAATCTCACCAGAAACTATTTCACGCGTAGGTCACCGTCTCTGCGACCATCCTATCGTGGGGCACATGGTGGGCATCGTTGGTAACACTAGCCGAATTGTCGTGATACGCTCATATCCTGGCCAGATCTGTCTGTCGTCCATGCGAGTACATCGGAAACCAAGCTTTCACTCTTAAGCCGGGTTTAGAGCGACCATTACCTAGGTCTCCGTGACCGCAAAGATGCAAGTACTTGTGCTAAGATTGATCTTTTTCAAGACACTTTGAAAAGCTGTTAGTGAGATGCTTCCGCTTCCGTCAGCTATCGAGTCTCTGTCGAAACTGAGAACAACTGTCTTCAATTTTGTGGGTTCCTTGATGCGTCTGGGCTCACGACCCTATCTAATACTACTGCTTGTCTACACCGACATAGCGGTCGGACCTATCTGCAGGAAAGGTGTTCGGCTTCGCTCCCTACTAAAGTACGCCGATCTGTGTGCATTTATCCCTAACAAGTGTCTCAAAACAGAATTTTCAAGTTGTTCTTGTCACCTGAACTTGGTGTTTAAATCAACTTTAAGTTATAGTTATGTGACTGCACTATTTACTTCCCATCTTGCCGGTCAGAGATCGGTAGTATGCCTTTTCTTAGGGCTACTATATCGTGCGTCGGTGAATGGACCAGACTTTACTTCTGATTTTCCGAGCCCTAAATCCACGTCCTTTTCCATTCTGTCAGTAAGGTTTTGCTCTTTCCTTGGCATAGGAAATCATCTGTGAATCGCTTGACGCCTACAGTAGTCAGATTGAACAGTTGAAGGCAGAGATGCGAGCAACCGTCGACAGTACTAACGAAATACGCGCTCAGTTGGCTGACTTGAAATCACAGTGAGTTTTACCTACTTGTTCTTCTTCATTTGCACCTGCAGCGGACATGACTATATTGGATGGACTAGTGTAGGCTTTTATTAGTCCAAACTGGTCACGAAGGAATGTGACACTTGGTGGTATTTACATATGCCTACAGACCGATTTGCCTTTCTAGCCCATCAGATAGAACTGCATTGGTCGTGGTTTGGAATCTTCCGTTTACTGTTTCAACATCTAAATTTGCATTTTTGTGGAGAGTTCAAAGTTTGACCATGTAATTCAAACTTACACCTGGAGGATGTCCTTCGACAGTCGTGCATTCCAGAAAAGTCGGCAAGCCACTGATATGGCTCTTACAGCCCGGCGCCTGTAGCAAAAAATGCAGGGGATGAGGTTTAGCTCCGTGGATTTTACCAGCGCCTTTGACACCGCCAATTGACACGCCATTTGGAGACTTGTGGAGGAAATGTCATGCTATGAACGGTTCACTATGCTTATCAAGCATCTTTATGATGCCCTGGTGAGACGCTTGCCGATCAACGGGTCTACATCAGAAACCTCCTCAGCGGTAAGGGAGTTGAAGCAGGACTGCCTCCTAGGCCTGACCGTATTCGTTTTCGTGTTTTTTGCGGTGCTGGTGGACATCTCCTACCAGGTAGTAACAAATCGGCGGTGAACTTGTCAACATCCACTTTATGCAGGCCATCACAAGGACCCCCGTGGTAAAGCTGCGTGTCGTTCATTGCGCATCGAATGCCACAAGTTAAGTATGCATACATGCAGCGAAACCTCTGAACACGTCATCTGTGAACAAACGACAGTCCGACCATCGATTTCGATGAAGTCAACCGTGTACTTTACAGCTGAGTGGTGCAGGGACGGCGACTTGCACTGGATTATAGTGAGAGTAGACGTTCACTGCACCTACCTCTCTCCTCACCCCCCTACCTGGACCCAGTGTCATCCGTGGACTATGCAGAAGAGGGCTTTTGTACCGTAATCGGTGCCAGTGGTCAAATAGAGCGAAACTACGTTAGTTGCCAATGCTGCTTGTCTCGCAGATGTAGACCAACTCTCTTATCTATACAGCACCATTCCTCAATGATGTTAACGGTTAAGTGGTTTGCATGAATTCCGGACGCACGGGTGGCGCAGTTGACTGACTGACGGGCTGAGAACTTATGCCGTGTTGAAGCAGATCCAACTCCGATGGGCCGACGGTTGGCTAATGAACGCCTTGTGAGGCAACAATCGCAGATGAAGTAGATACAACGATGTCGTAGGGACACTACAGACCTCCTTAGACTGTCATCAATTTAAACATGACACCTGAGAAACCTTTGCAGGCGCAGACAGGTGCAATAAACAGTCGTTGAAATTTGGGAACATTTCGGCGAACTCAACTGATCAGAGAAAGCCATAGTGAATAAGTCTGAAATGTTGCTAGCCAACGCCACTAATGTTCAACCTGTGCCAATATGTTCCCACCATCAACGCGCGCGTATAAGACTGGAACCTTCTTTGTTGGACACCTGATTCGCCGCCGTGTCAACACAACTGAGGACCGTGCGTACCGTCACTGACCACACACCTATCACCGTAACAACGCCTCGCCGTGCTAGTTTTCCCTGGACGGACTCTTGCAACTAGCAGTACGGGGACCGTACCAGGAAACTGGAGAAAACCGCTAGTAGGGCGAACTGACTGCCATTACGGTCGCACGTCGATTCAGACGTACGCCCGTTGGTCCTGTGGGAGGACCCGTTCCGAGGTTTTGATCAACCCTCTTCAAGCACTCCTCCCTGTCCACTGCACCTGCACACAGCGACTGCATGGACCGGCTGTCATCTGCGAACACTGGAATGCGATCACCAAATCATTACTCAGTATTCAAGCTTTAACTATCCAGTGGCATGTATACATGTTTGAATCAACCAGCTCTCACGCATCACCCCCGAAGTGACGTGCGCCACTGTCACTAACGGCGGACAAACTGAGATTTTTGTCTGCATGTGCACAGTGTACTGTGTCTATTCTCTTCAGCGGTCAGACAAAAGACTAGGATAGGTTACAGATCGGCGTATACTTCCGTGTGGCCAATCAAATTCACCACTGTTTGTGATTTGGAAGGCTGCCGACTGGCGGTATAACTCGATCGCATTTCCGCCTGAATATTAAAGTAATGCGACCCTAATTTGAGTCTCTTTTGCGTGAGATTCGAGCCCCCCACCATGCCTAGTACGTGTGCAAAAGGAGCTAGTATTTGTAGGGCTTGCATAAACGGGTTGTCTAGCTTTGCTACCCACTGCAACCACAACCATTGTCGGTTGTCTGGAATTTTGACTTCGGAGCGTGGTGAGTGTTAGTAAAGTAGATGCATCGAAAGTATGCTTCTGTGTGAACGATTTAGTGCGCAGGTCGAAGATGTATCTGATTCCGGAGGGACAGTGGTAGGCCTTGTTGCTTGTGACGGTCCGACATTGCAGGCTTATTTTGTTCATTGCCACTCCTGTTCTTGATGAACGTACACCTGATCTCATGCGGTTTATCCCACTTCTACGCAGCTTTGAAATCATACCGGAGAACGCTCGGTGTACCCATTGTCTGCATGCCCTGGCTTTGCGGACCTTCTACGTTTTCCCGTGTGGCCACTTTTTCCACACAGACTGTCTCATGAATCTGGTGAGTCTGTCATTCATCTCTTCCTGTCTCCCTTGATATATTGGATGTTGGTGTGATCTCTAGCAAGATTACCTATCACTCTGAAGTGCTTAATTGAAGTCCCCTGTGCCCGATTGTGACTGTTTGTCACTTGGGATGCTAAATGTGTTTTGTCGGGAAATGCTTTGGTTCCGCATGTGGGACGGCCACTGAGGTGCAAAGCCACTTCGCTACTACACGCCCAGATTCCTAACTTTGAACGAGGAAAAAGTTTAATATGTTATGTATTGGGGACCGTGCAAAAGATAGAAGACAGCGTTTCGGAAGCTGTGTTGATTATAGGTTAAATGCACATCCGTGTCGCGATATACTCACTCATCACTCACACCCAAAAAAGTTGCTCATATTTTACTGCACCGAACTTTGGTTACAATGATGATTGTGAATAAACTCCCCTCCGGCCCCTCCCTCTGCCTGGTCTCGAATGCGCCGATCAAAGCTTTTTCTCACCCAATGAAAACTTTAGCTAGTTCCTTTTTATATCGATGAACAACCATTTTCAACTCCTTGTTGAACAGTTTCAAGTTAGGTTTGCAAAAGTCAGAATTGCGGCATTAGAATCATCGATCATATTGTGCTCACGGGGACGTGTTTGTTTGTTCGCTGACGTTTTGGACAGGCAGGCCGGTTGTCCTTTGTCAAAGCGTGAACTGAATTTATCGATCAAGTTAACGAACAGGTCAGCTTTCCTCGCCATAGAGATCAGCCCTATCCCTCGAAGTGGTTATGGTTCGCTTCCTAACACGCTAACAGTGCGACGCCACGAGCCCAGGACGTTACTCCCCACAACTGCCGTGATTCATACATCCCGAGATAGTTGTCGACTTTCAGTATGATTCCCGCCCATGTTCGCACACCTGTGAGTTGCAGTCGGTGTCTCTCCTTG